AGCAGAAGTCCAAGGGGAAGCAAAAGGTTTCGGAAACGATTGACAATGATTTTGAGACGAAATTAGAGGATATCACAGCCTCTTACCACCACGCAAACGAACCACATCCTGGAGTAGGAGAGGGAGTGGAGGTCTAAAAGTCAGTAAAAGAGAACACTGTAAAGCTAAAATTATTTTGATTGATGAACGGTTTGAACATGTCAAGAATAATCTCTTTTTGGTAGAACGAGCTTTCGAGCCAAAGTTAGCCGAAAAGTGTATGTGTGTTAAAAATCATTTGCTTGCCCACCATTGGGAGCATATGGTCTCTATTCCACGTAAGATCAATGAGACTTTATTTAAGGAATTTTATGCAACCATAGGGACTTCCAAGAATGACATAGTTATTATTCGTGGAGAGAGAGTTGACTGGACCACCTCAAAACTCAATTTGGTGCTTGGACTCGCTGCTCCCTTTATATGTTCTTATTAACAGTTTTTGGATGGTGGTGTTGTTGTACCTGAAACCGATGTAGCCAATATACTCACTCTACCAAGTCACGATTGGTCTATGATAATCAGTTCAAGATCATCATGACGGGCCATTTGACTTTAGAAAAGACCCTTTGGTTCCAGTTGGTGCGACACAACATCATGCCTTCGATGCATGATCGCATGTTGTCTCATACCAAGTGTATGCTCGTTTATCGAATCATCAAGGAACTTTCGATCGATGTGGGGACAATCACTTACTTGACTATTCTAACCGCCATGGTTCGTGCTAGTTCTCGTTTGATTTTTCCAGGTCTGGTTAAGAAGTTGCTCATGGCTGCCAAGGTGCCCGCTTCCGAGCATGACATCATCTCTTTCAATCACTCTTTGCTTAATCAAGGCACGGTCAACGGAATGCATAAACCCATACCCGATATTGATGAGTTGGTTGACGATGCTACCGGCCGCAGACCACACCAGGTCCTACAGTGAACAGTTTCTGCATACCCAATGACCCCCCAATTCCCATGACCATACCAACTATTGTCGTTCCTTCGGCCACATACCAGATTCCACCTATTCTGCCTTCGGCTACTAGTTACGGTTCCAAAGTATGGCTCTCTATGATGGTTGGTCAATGGGAGGAGTGCAACCAGAAGCTAGGAGCTATCGTTGCATCTATACAACAAATGAACGTCATATCACCAGGGTTGAGGACCGAGTTGCTGGTTTGGCTGCTTGTTTGAAAAAATTTTGGACCTATACTCGTGACATGAATATGGTGGTTGACAAATTTTTGTTTGCAAAAACTGTAATGGTGGCTACTGCTATTCCGCGTTTTTCTGGCGGCCTATGTCCCCCTCAAGTTCGACTTCCTAAAATTCAACGTACCACCATTTCTGATTCTTCAGATCAACCTTAGGCCAGTCACGGTGATGCGGGTAAAAAGGATTAAGTCATCCTAGGTGTTTCCTCGTCATATTTTAAAACTTTATTGTTGTCTAAATCTTTTGGGTACATGTTACATTTTCCAACCTCGTCTTTTTTGTTGATATGGCGAGGTTGCTGAAATCTAATCTTTTATGTTGTTTTATTTGGGCATTGATCTTTATTTGGTTTCATTAGCTTGTCTCTTATTTTCAGGTATGACTACCTAGACGGATTCTTATGGGTTTGCAACAACTAAAAGAACGTAGGCCTTCTTTCATTTTTTTGGCCAAAACACTTACCTTAGTTACCTAATCACTCACTTAAGCCCGCTTCTCCAATGCGGACGTTGCTCGGTCCAAGTTTGGGGGAGTATTTGCATTGAGTGAAGTTTAAAATATATATATATATATATATATTATCTTCAAAAAAAATTGGAAGACTCAAATAAAGCAACATGTTTTAACCCAAAGATCCCTAATAAAATATCAAATTTTGGGTTTTAAGGAGTGTCAAATATACAACAAAAGTTATATGAAGTGGGATCGTTCAAACCATTTTTTTATTTTAGATAAGCTTGGGGGAATTTTTTAGCCACATATACTAACCCATTAAGCCCTACTGATTAATTTGTGCCACAAAGATCAAAAAAGGAAGTCATACATCATCTAAGTTTGACGAAATTTAAACGTCCCTCCGTAAGTTTTGTGCTCTTTCTCGTTCTTTTTGTTGTTTATTCCTTTCATTTTCTTACTTGAGGAAAAGTAATACCTCAAGTTTGGGGGTATGATAACTCTCCTTTTTTAGAGTAATTTTTTATTTATTACTCCCGTTTTTACGTCTTTTAAACACCCAGTTTTTCTTGGTTTCCCCCGTTTATTCCAATTTTTTTAAAAAGATGATGAAACATAAAGGATGAGAATTTATTCCAAAAACCATCACTTTGAAACTACGCCTACAAATCTACAATGTCACCACAGTGGGAATATTATGAATTTAGGGATAAAGATCAACCTTTTTGGAGGGAGTTTTCTTGAAGACTTTTCTAAAAGTTGTCTACAATTGGAGCCATGTTGAAAATTTGTGTTTTGGATAAAAGAGGGAGGTGGATTGACTCTTTAACAACAAGACATTAAAGGACTCATTTCCTATGGGTAAAAGATGGTCATCCTTATCCTTTTTCCCCTGTATAAAGGAGCCTTGAGTTCATTTGAAGGGCATCCCATTTAAGCTAAAGTCTCTCCACATCTACTTTTAAGCTTTAAGTCTTAGAATTTAATTTTCTTGTATTAAGTTTCTTAGTTGTAATCTTCTGCCCACAGCTTCACCGCTGTGGCGATAGACTCTTGTTCTATTTTAATGAAATTTTAATGCAAGTTTTATTTCTTATCTTCTATTATGCTTTTCATGTCTATTATGAGCTAATTACTTCTATGGGTGTGGGTGTGGGTGTGGGTGTGGGTGTGGGTGTGGGTGTGGGTTAACTTAGGATTTATAAGTAACATTTGGGTGTTTTCATTCTTTACCACTTCACAAACTTTATCAGTTAAGTCAGGACTAAAACTCAACGAGGATAAGTCGGTCACTTTGAAGTGTTAATATTAAATCTTTAACCCAGAGATGAGCAAATTTGAAATATGGCTTAAGTGATGCATAAAGATTTGAGAAGGTTTTTGATAATTACGTGGAGATACGAATTTTGTATGTATTTAGCTAAGGTTCAAATATTGGAGATTTGTATTACAAAGATATTTGAGTATGAATTTTCAATTTAATATTTCTTTTTCTATTTAGCTAAATCAGCAAGCTTTGAAGTGGTGGAAGTGGGAACTTTGTAGGCACTGTCTACAAAACATCACTTTCGAGAGATTGCAATTTTTATAAACCTCTCATAAATTTCTGACCGTTGTATTGTTGTTTTTGTCTTGAGGAATACCTACATCCATGCACATCTTTTTTATTTATAAGTTTATTTCGTCTTTTAAAGTTTTTCACCAAAAAAATCCAACTTTTAATCACAAACCGAAACATGCTCAAGAAGTTTATGAAATTCTCCGATTCTCAGTAGTTCAATCCTTGTGGAAACGATCTCGGTACTTTATCACTCTATTACTTGCAAGTGATCATAGTGTCGATGTGCACTTGCACCGCCACTGTGGGGACTTTGTGCCCACTGTGTGAACACGAACAATTCCAAGCTACCAATCTATATGGCTTATTTGCACAACTCTTTTAGGTTGTTTACTTGCAGCTTATTCACACAACGCACAACTTAATAGCACAAATGGGCATGGTGTGTTGTCCACATTCAGCAAAAATATGACACTCCTACCCATGATTTTTAATAAACCCTCTTGGACATAAAACACGCCTCCTCCATGCAAACACACCTCCTTACATTAGAAAACCTAGTCGTTGTATACCTGTGAGAAGCCCCTGCACCATCGACCTCCTTTCTAGCAACCAACAACCATTCTGTTTTGCGACCGTCGAGTAAGAAGTTGTGAACGACGACCTCCCTTTCCAATAGCCGATTCTTCTTCTATGAGGTGTATTGATTTGTACCAGATACATAGAGAGAAAAAAGAATGAGTGGCTCATAGTGAAGCAACTCGTAAGATCCATGGAGGTACTGAGATTATCGAGGTTTCCTGATGATACCCGTAAGATCCATGTGAGAAATTGAAGGGAGCAAAAAGAATGTGCAGAGGGATAAATTGATGAGCAAAAATGAGGTTTTTTTTTTGTTGCCAAATACGAAGTTTAAACAGGGCCTATTCAGATTCTTGACACATTGATGCCTCTTTACTTGAACACTCAAATATTGAGGGAAGCAAAAGGAGAATGGAGCTCTATATATGAAGATGGTGTCGTGTAATTCAAACTGTTGGTTCTTAGATTCTTAAATTATAATCTTGACCTCTTCTTTCTTTGAACTTTGAGTTGGATTTTGAATGGAAGAAACCCTAATCACCATTGTCCTTAGGATAGTTGGTGGTCTTTAGGTGCAAATGGATGTGAGTACACAGGTGCAAATGATTTTGAAGCTACTATGAAACTACGGGAAATTGTGTAAATTGACATATCTTTTAAGTTGATTAATTCTTCAATTTCCAGAACTTTGTTCAAACTATCATATTAGGAGTTTAAAAATCATTTTTGTTATTCAGACTGTCAATTCAAAGAAAAAGTAAACATCTTTAGTTTTATCTAGGCACACAAATTTATCTAGACAAATAGATTTATTTATATAAGACTTAAAAGAAAAGTTGGTAAACAATCCTTAACCGTTACTATAATTAGTGAAGTCTAAATGTAATTAGATGTAGACCTAAGGGACCAAAATTGTATATTACTCTAAATAAAAAGATGAAACTTCTTAAGTTGTTGATGGCAAGAAGAGGGGGCATGGCATACTTTTTCATATATGCGAGGGTCAATCAAATAAATAATTTCATAAGGGTATGCGTAGGTAGGTCCCCAACCCACGTACCTGACAACTGGTTCATACTATAAAAGCCACCACTAACAACTTGCCACGTCTCCTACACCTACACTTAAAACCCTCCCCCAGTGCATGTAACAATACCGGCCCCTGACTGATATTTCTTTTTCAGTTGGCAAACAAAGGCTTTGACAGCTTCTTTCTTTATTCCAGTTGCATTGCATGTATATTTATGATGGAAAGATATGAGATACTGAAAGACATTGGATCTGGCAACTTTGGAGTCGCTAAACTTGTTAAAGACAAATCTTCTGGTGACCTTTTTGCAGTCAAGTATATTGATAGAGGCCAGAAGGTTCTGTTTTTTGTATTCTTTATACTCAAATCTGTATCTTTCTTCTGATTATTGGGTTCAATTGATTTTGGTTGTGTTTTTCAACAGATTGATGAGCATGTAGAAAGGGAGATTTTGAACCACAGATCACTTAAGCACCCTAATATCATCAGATTCAAAGAGGTATACTTTACTTTTTCCAATCATCATTTCAAGAAATTCGTTTACTTTCGAGCTTAGTTCCTCAAAATTCTAGTTTTTGTTGGTGGGTTTTCTTCTTTTTCCCAAGAATAACTCTGAAAGATCAAGAAACCCCCAACTGGGCTTGTGGGTTTTGGTGCAATTTTGACTGTGAAATTGAAAAATTCAAGAAGTATATGGTCATCTGTGATCAAGAACCCTAATGGATTTCGTGGTTTGACTTTTGATATCCAAAATGTCAAAAAAGGTTGACTTTTTTGAAACAGAGCGAGTCTGTTGATGATTAATTGATGTTGTACAGGTGTTGTTAACGGAGACCCATCTTGCCATAGTGATGGAGTATGCCGCAGGTGGAGAGCTTTTCGAGAGAATTTGCACCGCTGGTAGATTTAGTGAAGATGAGGTACCAACCAAATCACCTTCAACTTTTTAGAATTGAGTTTGTTTCTGATGTTTTCTTGCTCCGATAAACTTTTTAGGCAAGATTTTACTTCCGGCAACTCATATCAGGAGTCAGTTACTGCCATTCCATGGTAATTTTATGTCTATATCCATCTCTCTCTCTATATATATACATATTGGAAAGGTTCAAATAAAAATAGGAAAAAAGTCTCTGGCCTACTAATAAATGATTTATATGTGAATCAGATGAACTTGAAAAAACTTTCATGTAAAGTTGCATATGTATACCTGCCTTTTTATCTATTATTCACATGTGAATATAAATAAGTGAACCTATGGTTCCTTTTACCAGTGATTCACATATCAGTCTTTTATTCGTATGTTATCAACCTTTTTGTCTTTAGTATTTGAACTCAACTTAAGCAAGATTCTGAGATATGTGGAACCCATTACTGTACTAAAAAGAAAACCAAGAAAATGGGTTCCAATATATATTGACGATGAAAGGTTTAAGTTTTGTAGATATGGGTATTCTAATAGATAAAAATTTGATGATTTTATATGCAGCAAATATGCCATAGAGATCTGAAGCTGGAGAACACACTTTTAGATGAAAGCTCTACGACCCGCCTCAAAATCTGCGATTTCGGATATTCTAAGTCATCGGTTTTGCATTCGCAGCCCAAATCAACAGTCGGGACACCTGCGTATATCGCCCCAGAAGTCTTGTCGAAAAAAGAGTACGACGGTAAGGTGAGGTTCGAAAAGCTTTGTGTTTTTTGCTTTTCTTTGACATTATCTTGTTAGTTTGGTGAGTTATTTATAAACATTTGTATGTATAGATTGCAGATGTTTGGTCTTGTGGGGTTACATTGTATGTGATGCTGGTTGGTGCTTATCCTTTTGAAGATCCTGATGATCCAAGAAACTTTCGGAAAACACTCGCGGTGAGTACTTATATCTATCGATTTAAATACATATTCGAATAATGTGCTTTGAGAGTGTATTGTATCTTATTAGAGTCTCACATCGGCTAGACTGATCTTTTTCTCAAAAATATACGTTGGAACCTTCCTTCTCTGCTAAAAACTCTTTCGAAGAACAGTTTAATGGATTCGACATATTATCACATAAGTGTTAGAGATATGTATTTCATTTTGTTCGAAGCATACATCAGCTAGATCTGAATCATTTTTTACTCGATATATATTCAAAACTCTCTAATCTGCTAAAATAACTTTGTTGGAGAGTAAACTAATAGGGTTCCATGTTTTGGTGGTTGTTACAGCGGATTCTTAGCGTTCAATACTCGATCCCAGACTACGTTCGAGTGTCCATGGACTGCAAACACCTTTTATCTCGGATATTCGTGGATAACCCTGAAAAGGTACACAAGATTTAAATTCTATTTCTTTAGTTGGGCTTGTTCAAACCGTTGAAACGTGGATGTTTGCAGAGAATAACGATCCTCGAGATAAAAAAGCATCCATGGTTTGTGAAGAACATGACGATTGACGTGATGGAGGACGAGGAATCAGGTGCAGAAGTCGAGAAGGCGGATACGCCGTCGCAAAGTACCGAAGAAGTGATAGCAATCATACAAGAGGCAAGAAAAAGTCCAATGGGTAGCAAAGAAGAGGGGGAATTTGTTGGCATGGATCTTGAGGATGAAATTGATAGTGATGATGAGTTTGAAGATGATGTAGATACAAGTGGAGATTTTGTTTGTGCACTCTAAGCATTGGTTCAAAAGTTTGAGGGGTTTTTTAAGATGTAAAAATATCAAACATAGAATAATATTCAACTTTTTTTATAAGATTTAGTTGTTATGATAGCATTTTATTATTGAGTATTGAATTATGAGCAAATTGCATGAAATTAAAGCGTATTTTAGTATGATTTTTATTGCGTAAATTTTGATGTCTCAAAATGTCACATCTCAAAAATTTAAGGGTATTTGATTTTAGCATGATCGTCTTAATGAGCTTATGACTTAATTCATTAAGCGTGTAAGATATATAGATGTTTTTGGAATATAAAAATCAAAAATTACCTCCTCTTTAGCTATTGAGTCATATTCATTTTGATTAATCCTTTATTTTTTTATGTGATTCAATTTTTCTATAGTTGTTTTTTGATATTATATTCATATTTATCAAATCTGATTTAAATTTTGTTTACAAAAATTAAATTTAATAATTTTTTGTTGATACTTTATAAGAGAAGAAAGACTTGTTGTTATTAAGAGAATGGAGGTTATTTATATATACATTTACAATTCATTAAGAGAAAAACAAATCAATCTAATTAAAACTAATTAATGAAAAAATATTCACAAGAATAATTCTAAATAAAAGAAATATTACAATAATAATACAGATGATCAAAATCAAGGATTGTTATCCTTGATTGAAACATGAATCATGGTAGAGATTTTATCTTTATCACGCCCCCTCAAGATGGACGTCCTTTGGGAAAGTCCAATCTTGGTTAGTAGTGTATAGAAGCAAGATTTGGGTAATGGTTTGGTGAGGACATCTGCTAACTGATCATCGCCGGGAATATGTTGAACTATAATTGTGTTGAGTTGTACCTGTTCACGAACAAAGTGAAAGGTCAATGCGAGGTGTTTCAAGCGGGAGTGAAAAACAGGATTGGCGAAGTAATGTGTGGCACCAAGATTGTCACAATAGATACAAAGCTCATGTATTGGTGTAATTCCAAGCTTAGTAAGCAAAGAACATAGCCAAAGTACTTCAATTGTTGTGTCAACAATTGCTCGAAATTCCTACTTGGTGGATGAACGGGCCAAGGCCCGTTGCTTCTTGGAGCTCCATGAAATTGGATTACGACCAAGATAGACTAAGTAACCAGTGGTAGAAATGTAGTTATCCATATCCCGAGCCCAATCTGCATTTGTAAAGGCATGGAGTCTTAATGAAGAATTACAGTACAGTTGAAGACCATAGTGAGAAGTACCATTTAAGTATCGTAATAATCGGTTAAGAGCAAGCCAATGATCATTAGAGGTGCAATGCATATATTTTGATAGTTTATTGGTAACATGGGCAACATTTGGACAAGTGAGAGAGAGGTGTTGTAGGCTTCCAAGAATAGCTCGATATTTTGTATGGTTGGGAATGGGTGGGTTTGTGGTATAAGTGAGGGGCGGATTTAGAGCTAGGGGAGTGGATACTGGTTTGGAGTCATGCATGTTATAATTCACTAGCACGTAATGAATGTATTTTGTTTGGTTAAGAAAAAGACCCTGGGCATTAGGGACGACTTCAACACCTAGAAAATAGAAGAAGGGACCAAGGTCTTTGAGGGAGAAGCGATGAGAGAGAGTAGAGATGAAATTCATTAGGTAAGAAGGAGAAGGGCCAGTGACCATAATATCATCAACGTATACTAATAGGTAGATGATGGCAGTACCATAGGGATGGATCAGAGATTGAGTTTCGAACTCCATAAGATAAAAGGAAAGTTCTAAGTTCTATATACTAAGCTCTTGGGGCTTGTTTAAGGCCGTAAATATCTTTGTTAAGTTTACAAACATGGGTAGGACGTTCTTTGTCGATAAATCCTGTGGGTTGAGACATGTAAACATTCTCGGTAAGAGTGTCTGTTGATCCTCTCTCTCATTGATTTGTTGATAATCCCTTTTTC